ACAAACTTTATTTGATCTATAGAGAAAATAGAAATTTATTTTTAATGTAGTTACTTTATATGACTTACTTTCATATGACTACATAGTAAAACTTTATAAATTTAAATACTCTGGTTATTATTAGTTCTCTAAATAATCAAATCAAAATAATAAACAATTCAAGATATAATTAGAAAAAGCGCATGTTAAATAAAATGATAAAACTATTTTGAAAATAAATAAAGTCGTTTTAGAGTTAAAAAAAATATTTTTTAAGTTTATCTTAGAAAGAGAAAAAGCATAATATAAGATGAAGAGTGAGTTTCTTCTGATATCTTTTGAAAGCTAGTTGACCCNTTCTGTGACAGTGATTAGTTTCGGGTTACTTAACACACGCACCCCCACAAAAAATGTAGGGGAGACAGTGAAACGGGTTTTGGAGGTGCAATATATTTCGTCCCTTTTCGAACCTATCCTTACTGAAGGTTGGAATTGAAATGAAAAGGCCTCCTTAGGTATTCTTTGGCCAAGTATTGTACCGATGAATTAGTTTCTGTAAAGTGGCGCTGTTGTCAACGTCGGCGCGATAGCTCTGAGGCTATCTTACCGATAGTCGGTGTAATAGACACTGCCTTTCTAAAACTCGAAACAGCACTTTCGAAAGAAAAATTTTTGTTTTACCCTCCTTACCTATAGAAATGCTGGCAAAAGAATATTTCACGAATGACAAAGCATTGTTCCTACATATAAAAATATTGCATTAAATTAACCAAGAGAAAAATTGTTGTTGTTGTTAATTTATTTTTTGTGCCATGTCTTTCAGTACATATATCATATATTTTTGTATACTAGACTTTGTATTATTACTTTTATGCAACCAATCTCCGAGTTATTAGACGGAATTTTAATAATTGTGCTATTGATAATTTGAATTTTTAAATATTGAAGGCTCATAAAATATGCTTCATCTTAAGTGATTTTTTGTGCATTTTCTGCATTTTAAGAAAGGGAATTTGATGATTTGGTGAATTAATCGTAATACACTTTAACACTTATAATTTCTATGTAAATATTTGTAAATAATGTGGTGCTAAATAGGCTTAATTACAAGAAGATAATATGATGACTATATGCTCGTGGGACTCTTAATTTACTATGATTAGTCTTTAAGTTTTTCTAGATCTTATGCAAATTATATCCTTGATTTGTATAATGAATATAGGTATGTATTATGAAATTTAGACACGTATTAAACCTTTTTTTTTTTTGTGTAAAAAATGATGTTGAAATATTTTCTATCAAAAAGTAAGTTTGATTACTTATTAATTAAAAAATATAATGATATTTGTGATAAACTATTTTTGTGCATAGCAAATATAAGTCTGAAATTATATTAAAAGTCAAGAGAATTTACTTATGAAGTTGATTTGAAGCCTCTTGAAAATATAATATTTATTTCTAAATTTTTTATGGAACTGTAGTCTTAATAAAAAAAGTTTTTTATCTCTTTATAGAAATATGAGAAACTTAAAATTGGTCCGAGCTTCTAAAAAGACTGTTATAGAGAGTGACAGTTTTTGTCAGGATTTTGACAACTTCATATATTTCAGTAGCAGTAAAGGAATTTATCACTTTGATCAAGTTAATAATGAAGTAAGTGGTAAAGTTTATTATAATTAAAAAACATTTATATTTCAAATAATTCTTTGCTGTATAGATCATATAATTTTAATTAGGAAACTATTAATATTTTTGAATTTTACTAGTTATTGTACCTTTATTATTCTCAAATTAATTTATTACTATTATCTCAAAAATGATTAACATGTAATCAGTTCAAAACAAAATATTTGTTTTGTTTCTATAACTACTGAATAAATTTGTCTTTATTTTTTAGTTATAAGAGCAGTGGCAGTCATGGACTTAGGTGCCCTCCTTCTGGTGTATTCTATTTTAAAACTTTCCGCAAAAAATTTAAAATTATCCAAATCAAAAATACTCGGGTGAAAAGATATTTATAATAATTTATTTTGTTTTGATTTATGATAATGAAAAACATAATTGTAATACAAAAGCAAGCAGAATTTAGAAAAAGTAGTGAATTGAAAACACACTTTCCACATTAAAAGGAGATTGATCTATAATATGAAAGTTATATAAACTCACTATCTTACAATAACTATATTCAAATTTTAGTTAAGGGTTACTATTATTCATAAGGGAAGTTAAAATATATCTTATAAATAAAAATTATGTTATAAATATAAAATTCATAGTTTATCAATAGTAGTATACTATCTTATAAGTATAGTTTTTAGTGTTATTTTTTCTGGAGTGTGTCTGTCCTGCCCCATGGGTTTTGCGAGGGCATTATTTACACCACCGTAAGAGTGACAGATTTTGAAATCGGTGGCAAGATTGACACTTCAACTTGATGACATTGAAGTAATATTTTGTCATGCTTTTTAATTTAACATAACTCAAAATTATTTTATTGTCATTGTATTAGTGTAGTGAGTTACATGTTTTTTCATTAAGTACTATGTATATTTATTTTTTGAATTTAAATAATATATTTACATAAGTAAAACTAAATTAATTGACATGGCCATAACATAGTGTAACAATTAATGCTAATTAATTTATTTTTAATCATGAATTATTTGACGTCTGAATTTACAAATTATAATAAAAAGATTTAACTTAAAATTGTTCTAAATTGAGAATCTCTAATGCTTATGCTCAAGTACCTTTGACTTTTAAATATTTAGGAAAACTATTTTATTTTAATCAGGAAGTTATCTTTTTCATCAATTTGCTTAAAAAATGTCTTTATTGTTCTTAAATGTTTCTAATAAAACTTTGACAAGCCAAGTTCTTCAGCCATTGTCTTTGCAAATTAAGTCAGAAAGGAGCGCCTCTTATTTGATAAGAGAACACCACTTGGGTGAAGTGTGACTTAACTCAAATCTCCCCTGATAGAGGCAGGATCACTTATTTGTGAGGCCTCTTCCACAATTTAGACATAGATCTGAAGGGGAAGGAAATTTTTCCCAGATCCCTATACCCCAAGTATTGCTCAATAACCGACCACTGAATTTTTTATTTTATGCTCCTGGATATCACATATATTCAGTGGGTCTTAGCAGTATCAACCCCCTTTGGAACTGAAGTTTAATGCTCTAACCACGGGTAACCACATGGCCCAACAGTGGGTGTTTATATATTTTTTTCTAAATTTTTATTTGTGTATCAACAATTTGTTTACACATTTTCTCAAAATTTTCTCTAAAGGTCTCATTCTGTTCCGGTTTTGATTCAGAGGAGCAAGAATATGTTATTGGTATGGAATACATTATGGAAACCAATAGTATTTTCCTAGCATCAGCTTCTGGGAATCTATATTTGTATGATATTGCAGAAAAACAAGTATATATGTTTTATATCTTTCAACATTTGTGTATTTGCATTCTATGTTTTGTCTTCATTTATTACTGCTTTACAAATAAAATTAGTTCATTGCTTTTTACCATATTAAGAAAAAATTAAAAATCTATAACATTTGCAAAACAAAGGACAGAAAATCTAAATGGCAGTAAAATATTATGTTTTATTTATAAATTAATTATATCTGTGTTGGAACACAAATTAGATTAAGTGGTGATTATAGAAAAATGTTCTACGTTTAAATTAATATGATATAATATGAAATGATTTCTTATAGAAGTAGGAGACATTAATTTAGAAATTGCCCTCATACTTTTTGACACAATCTGTTAAAGATTTTGGTTCTTATTTATTTATTTTTAATAAGCGTATAAGAAAGCTTTTATCTTTAGTAGCTGGAATATTTTAGTGATGTATTTTTGTTCAAAAATTAATGAAATTGTTTTTTCTTTTGTTTTAAATAATCAGGAGACCAATGTGAATCTTAGATGAAAAGGTTAAATTTCTTTTTATGTTAATTTTGTTGTGCATATTTTGAACTGATTCATGTTTTGTGTTCATTAAATTAGGTTAGTAACATTGGAGCTGTAGAGAATGGTTTAAAAGAATTTGCATGGAGTCCTGATCAAGAATTTCTCATTTTATTAACTGGTAATATTTTATATTTTCTATCTGTACATTTTGCAACTTATTATTTCAAT